GATAGATAGATAGATAGATAGATAGATAGCAGGGGTGCAACGATACAGAAAATTCACGGTTCGGTTCGATACTTTAGTCTCACGGTTCGATATTTTTTCGATACAAAAAAGAGAAATTTCCATGCCCCTTTTAACTTGTAACTTATTTATATTAATTATGAACATTTGTTTAACCTCAAAAGTATAGTTTTTTTAATTAAATGTTGCTGAAACAGCAAGTTTCTTAGTGGATCTGTGCTCAAAAATGCAGCCTAGGTGGAGTAGTCGAACACAGATCCACTGATCCTTTAACACAAAGCATCTTCAGAAGACAAGTTGATAAAGTAAATTTTTAAAATCTGTATTGTTCGATACAGCACTGTTCGATACGGTTTGATACGGTTCGATACGGTTCGGTACGGTTCGATACGGTTCGGTACGGGTACATGTGTTGTTGCACCTAGGGGTGCAGCAATACATGTACCCGTATCAAACCGTACCGAACCGTGAATTTCCTGTATCGTTGCACCCCTAACATACTGTATATTGCACCAGTAAAGTGCATAAAAGGATATTTGAGTTTTTGATAATGACTGGACATGCCCTTGTCCCTCGGTCTCAAATTTTACTGATCAGTGTTTTCCTGGCATACAACTCAACATTCCCATGTTTGTTCTGATTACAAGGTTCACTGGTCAGGTTTTGACTGGAACCCTTAAGTGTGGAGTTGGCATCTTTTTTGGTTCTATATGTTATTTTAAAAAGCTTCGGGTGATTTTTACTGTTCAACAGACTTAAGGAGTGAACTTGCATGATTGCTGGTCTGAGATGAACCACCAGTCTGTTTTAAGTATAGAAAAATGTACATAATATTCTAAAGACAGACGTTGTCCACAAAACCTGCACCAATGGGAACCAGTCACTGAGTTWTATGATAAACCACAATAATAATGTGACTCACTGATAACAAAACAAACAACAATAAAAAAACTAATAGTAATTTAAATTCCTCATGTGACTAAAGATACTGTGTCTTCACAGCAAAATAATAACACTGAGATGTCACAATACAAAAGTTCTGCTCACTCGTGTCATGTTCCAACAAAAAGCCTCATAAAAATGAAATCATCTTACGAAGTCACTACTATAATTATAGCAAGTAGCTTTTAGGCTTTCAGATTTCCTGGAAGAAGATAACACTGACAAACAAAAACAAACAGATGAATTAAAGACCAAGCATTCCTTGGACAATTGCATATCGCCCACTACCTTTCACATTACAATTTTAGACTAACATAATCCTATTATGGAGTTATAACCACTATGCCACAACTAATTTTAGCTCAATATGTAAAAAACTCAGTTATAACACTATGTGTTTGTTAAGGTTCATAGCTGTGGCACACGTCTGGAACTGGAGTGACTCCAAAACCTTATTTAATTATTGCTTGCTGGAAGTTTGATTAAAATCTATCAAGTGGTTTGTAAGATATTTTGCTAACAGACAGTCAAGGTTGAGACCAACAGGTAAATGCCAAAGTTTTAAGTTTAAAAAAAAACTGCTATCCATAATGCTCTTTGTATGTTTTAAGCATGTTCAGCTTACACAACAGATTTGAACTTAATAAACGTCAAATCAGTTGACTTTTATCCATTTTTGTGCTGGCTAATATCACTTAGCTGTGACAGCCATCTTAGATTTTGGAAACTTAATTCACATGAAATAAAGCTTCAATACCAATCACTAAATAGTTCATGAAATATTTTTTTCTAACAGACAGAGAGCTGATCTCAACAGTTCATGRTGAAGTTATAAAAAATTTTGCGTAACCTGGTAGTGCTCAGAGTTTGTATGCGGAAGACCCTCAGCTATTAGCACAGCAAATTTTAGATTAATATGGGTAAAATTACTGAACTTTAGCCATTCTTGTCCCCCGTCACCAAGGTGGGGGACGTAGAAATGCTCTTTATCGTTCATCTGTCTGTGACGGGGGACATCAGCGACAGTTGTCAAGCTCTTGCTTGTTGGATTTGCTCAAATTTTCTAGCTGTGGCAAAGGGTGAATCCAAAAGTTAACTAAATAAATTGTATTTACTGTGAAAATGCATTGTGAATGCAAAAAAAATTAAAATAAATAAATAAGCTGAAATCAGCTGTAAAACAGCTATAAAGGCTGAAACTAGCATAAAAGTAGCTGAAAAAGCAGAAAAATGTAAAAATTTTCAGAAATAATCCTAAGCAGCACGTTGGCTGAACGAAGCCTAAAATAGCTGAAATGAACACAAAAAATGTGATATTTAAAAGGCTCTAAGTAGCCCAAAAAAGTTCAACTGTACCCCAAAAAGACAAAAAAAAAAAACTGTTATTAGCTAAAGCAGCCGGAGCATAGAAAGCTTAAATTAGCAAATTGGAGTTGAAATAGGAAGAAAACAAAGATGAAAGGAGTTGAAGGAAACTGAAATTAGCCCAAACAAGCTGAATAAAGTATAACTAGAACAAAGTAAAAGGTTGTAAAAAGGTAAAAGGTGGTGCCTGAAAAAAGCTATAAATAAATAAATAAATAAATAAATAAATAAATAAATAAATAAATAAAGTTCCCTGAGTGATCTGAATGTTTGGATGTATGAGTTATTGGAATATARCACAAAATCTGTAGAAGACGTGTCTGAAAAATGTACAGAAGAATTTTAATAATTTTAACTATACATTTAATTTGAGATATGCTGTGATTGTTTAATGTAGAAATGTAGCAAATGATGCAGTAAACAGAGCTGCTGAAGAATCATATAAAATGAGAGAAATTCATTGTCTCTTTAAAGTGGGGTGGGGGGGGGGGTGTTGTAATGGCTGAGAAATAAACCCAATGACCTGCAGATGTTTCTGCTATTTCTTATTAATGATCAAACCTTTGGTTTCTGGACACATTCAGTCTTCTGGAAGCTCGTCTGTGTCAGTTCAGTTCTGTCTGCTTTAAAGAAGAGGGGGGTAATTACATGACAGTACAGTTCAGCCCAAGCATTACTTTATTTGCCTGGAGGAAGAACAATCACTGCCGACTGTAGTTTCCTGTCCAACAGCAGCAGCTCTGAAGTCTGAGGCAAACTTGTGGYTGTGAGGGGAGAAGCAACACACAGAAAAGGACACTACAAGCTCATTCTGACAGAATAAACACGTTTGGCACGGTTCTGTGGCGAGGTTTAAGCTTGCAGAAAGGCAGCTGAAGACGCGCGTTCCCCCTGCAGAGAGACTGAAAACTTCCCAACATCTGGTCCGGCGCTGGAGGAGGAGGAGGAGGACCGGGGCGAGCCGAGGAGAGTAGGAGAGAGAGAAGTATCTCTGCTGAAGAAAATGCTCTGAATCCGGGCTTCGTGTGACCTGCCTGAGCCGAGGAGAAAGAACCTTTTCTGACCCGAAAACAACTAAAGAGTTGGGAGAAGGAGGAACTTTTGACAGGGGGACAGAAAGGGTGTTGGAGGAAGGTCCCACCTGAGGAGATAAGAGATGAATAAGTCATAAAAAAGGAGAAAAGGAAAAGAAACCAAGCCAGAGAGAAAGGTATGGATGTGTTTGCTGGTGTATTTTGTTTATTTGTTTGCTGTTTCTGACTAGCAAAAATGGAGTTAATGTTCGGCCTAAGCGTGCAGAGACTCGTTTGGAATAAAGAGACTGAGCACTGCGCAGACATGCAATCAAGGTAAACACAACCCTCCCGGGATGGAGGATTTAGCTCGAATATGGCTCTCCATTCACTAAAATAGTTTTCTTTTAAGGCATTAACGTGATTTTGTTGGAGCTTTTGCCTCATAAACAGCGATAATGCCGCCTTATTTTTTTTTTTTTTTTTTTTTGGAAAATTCTCCCAACTTGTCGCCATTTAAATCGAACACGGGGTTTTTTGCGTCTGTCTGTGAAAAGCTAAGTGTTTATCGGGCCTAACGTGTCTTCAGTAAATGACTTCAGTTCAAGAGTTTCAGCTAAACTTCGCTGAGAGTTGTCAAAAACGTTTCAGGGGCAATGAGTGCAAAGTTTGCAGCCACGGGTGCGCGCAAACAGCTGCCCAACTGAGCACAGGAGGAGGCGCGCTCCCGATTCCAATCAGCAGCACGTGAGGGCTGCATTAAACTGGACTCAGAGGTAAAAGGTATAAGGGACGTGCTCACTGTTCATGGCGGTCAGAGCAGGGAGTTCAGCAAGGTTAAAATTGGACTAATTGGTTCTGCTGTTTTTTTTTTTTTTTGAGACTTTATGTAAAAAAAAAGGAGTCTTAAAAACTAGTTTGTGTCATAAGTTTAAACATTATTGTTGACCTGGAGTTTGAGGTAAGTTAAATGATGGGTCAAGACCCAAAAGTGAGTCGCAGACATTTGCCTGCATAGGAAAAAAAAAGTCAAGAAAAAAAATCAAAGTTGTGATTGATATGAAAAATAATGAATAATTTTAATTAAACATTTGATATTAACAGGTGGGTTCTCAGCATACATTTTTTAAAATTTTTGAAATTATTTCTTAGTTGGACAGATTTTAGGACAACAATTTGAAGGAATTTAACACTTTTTGTGTATTTTTATGAAGATTTGTTTCTTCTAAAATTGCCACATAATAATACCACACAGGAGTCTGTCTTCCATGTGCATTTATTTATGAGTCAGCACACACACACACACACACACACACACGCACACACACACACACACACACACACACGCACGCACGCACGCACGCACGCACGCACACACAAAAAATCAGATGACAGCTGTCATCTGCTGAATTATGCAAGTCTATAACTTATTGTGAAATTGTATTATGTCTGCTGATGTTACTGTGCTTCCCTTTTTTATTATTATAGTGGATAATCATTTTCCTTAAGCAAATTAAATAAATATACTTATCATTTGCCCAGAATAAGTTTAAATAAAATATAAGAAAATACTAGAAGTTTTTGCTCTACTCCTGCCTGTCTGCATCAGTGAACTTCCTACGATTTGCTCATTTAATGTTTTGAAAAGGAGCTTTTAAATGATCATAAGGGGGGAAATATATAAATTATTTTGAATAAATATGTAAACGTGTATTTTAAATAAAATTGTAAACAAGGGAGTATTTATGAACAATCTAAAATCATTTATTATAGGAACTGATTTGTTTATTGTCTTTTTCAAAAGCACAGCATTAAATAGACCTCCTGTGTCCGTATTTGTTTCCCTCTGCTGAAAACCCATTCTGTTCAAATGCAGTGTTTCTGATTTAAAATAGCCAAATGCTTGATTGAGTCCATCTCCTCTTACTGCTTCAGGCTTCTTCACCTCCTCCCAGAACAGCCAGGCCTACGCCCATGGACAAGGAGAGGAGCCACACTGCCATCTCCAAAGATCCATCTGATAATGAAAACCCTGATCTGCCAGTTCCCGCTTCACAAACAGCCTCAAACACAGAGAGTGAAAACAGCTGCTCACACCCACCCCCCTGTTCTGGTGATGGTAAGAAAGAGTTTAAAAACACAAACACACACACAGAGAGCATTCATCTCAGGCCTCCAACAGCGTTTTATTTTTCTGATGAATCATACACGAGCTCTTGAAAAAGGAGGTGGTGGATTAGTGATGTGCAAATAAACGAGCTGGATCTGTCATTCAGTCAATAACCAAGAATATAACAAAAGATCACATCTCTCTGAAATGATATGGCAATTATGTCGGACTTTTAACAAACATTTTATAGACATTAAAAAAAAACAACCAGGTGGTGAAATATGACGCTTCAAGTTGGGCAGGACCTGCTTTAATCATCTTGCATCTTTGTGTGACTCATAAAGCTGCTGTTGCCTGTGAAGCTCATTTTAGCTTGATGTTGCATTTTAGTTGCAGGGTGCAACGGTTCTACTATCAGGTGACGGTAACGGCCTTGGATGTTCTGACGGGGCTGGACCAATTCAGCATTGTGGAACACTAAAACTTTCCCTCTACGGGGTTTGGGGGAATTTTGGAATGATCCCTTGACCTTTTTCTCTTTGTGAACTTTGTCATGGTAGAGGCTTACTAACGTGGGGGTGAGGGGGGAGCAGGAGGATGTGGACTCCACTCCAGGGCAGTTATGCGTCTGGATGACTCATCCCAGATCAGCCAGTGCTGATTCAAGTTCCCTCTAGTTTCTCAGAGAAAACAACTGTGCTAACTGTGTATTAGAGTGCAGGTCTTATGGGGTAATTAGGGTAGGTGTGGTTAACAGTTGGGGTAGTGTGCAGAGATTTAAGTGGCTTGTTGCCATGGGAGCCTGCCACAAAAATGTTTGATGGTTGATTCCTTTATCCTTTTCGATTTTTTTGTTTGTTTTGTTTTCTCTTGTTTCTCAAAGGTGCTGCTGTCGTCAGTGCAATGAATTTCTTCTAATTACACGAGCATCTCAGGTTTTGTGGTTAACCACGACTGTAACTATAAATAGCATCAAAATTATTAATAATGCTCGAGGAGTCAACTCTGTCCAAATGTGTTCTTTGTCTTTACCTGTGCACAAAGCCTTTCTGTGGCCTCCTTAACTAAATTTAAACTTTCATTGTTAGCGTATGTGTATGTATAAATGCTGGAGGTTGGAGGAGACGAGGCCCTGCTTTCAGCTCTGCCTCCCTCCTTCACACATCCCCTAAAACGGAGCAGAGCTTTGGAGCAACTCAATAAACACATTGAATTCAGAATTCAAAAAATGCATTTGGACCTTGGGACCGCAGTTCGATGATCGATTTTGTCATCGTTTCATCGGATCTGCGACCGTATGTCTTGGACACTCGGGTGAAGAGAGGGGCGGAGCTGTCAACTGATCACTACCTGGTGGTGAGTTGGCTCCGGTGGTGGGGGAGGAAGCCGGTCAGACCTGGCAGGCCCAAACGTGTAGTGAGGGTCTGCTGGGAACGTCTGGCGGAGTCCCCTGTGAGACGGAGCTTCAACTCCCATCTCCGACTCGACTCAACTTCGAACACGTTCTGGGGGAGGCGGGGGACATTGAGTCTGAATGGACCATGTTCTGTGACTCCATTGACGAGGCGGCTTATCGGAGC